CGTTTCCTTTGTTTCTCCTCCTTGGTAAGTAGGTTGTCTTCACTACTTCTTGTTGGTCTCATCTGTGTGGATCTCTTCCCAGATAGTAAGTAACCTGGTTATTTGATATAATGTCAGGTCTCTGTCTTTCCTACCTGCAGCCTGCTCTGCTTCCCTCGCAAGTGTGTGGTAGAAGTGTCTTTTGTCTTTCCGCGCACTCTTCTTCATTTCTGTGTCCAGTGTTTTGTAGGTTGTGTTCAGTTCCTCTTTTCGTTGTTCATCCTTGCATTGCACTGCACTGGAGTGGCTCATTTTCTATTTTTCACCATATTCCTTCTGTGTGTCCGTGGAGATCCATTCCTTGTCTTGTTTCTTCTTCCTCTTTCCTAATATGGTTATGCAGATTTCATTCCATGTCTCTTTCAAAGAGTTCCAGTATTCTTCCATGCAGGTGTCCTCGCAGATGTTGCTTGATGTCTCTTATCTTTTCCCGATGGCTGATGTGAAGGTGTCCTTTGTAGTTTCGTCCTTCAGTTTCTGTTCTTGGTGTTGAACTTGGACTATGTTCTATCACCAACTTCTTTGAAGGCTTTCAACTTGCACTAAATAAATAGTGAGTTGCATAAACCTACGTCTGCTCGCCCTTTTGATCTTATGTCCAGTAGGCTGTGTCTCCACTTTCTTCACATCGAGATGAAGTCTATCTGATTTTTAGTGTATTCATCTTGTGAAATCCAAGTCGCTGCCTTGTGAATATCCTTGTGTTTGTACACACTACCTCCAATCAACAAATCGTTAAATGCGCAGTAGTCTTCAAACAGTTCTCCATTCTCATTCATTTCACCGACTGCTTCGCGACCCGTGATGAGTTCTCTTCCAATGTTGTTCGCTCCCGGTTTGGCTAGTAACTAGTGAACTAGTTAACTAGACGAGGTGAGGAAGAGATATGATAATAGAAGTTTAATAAAGGGTCATAGACTGCAGTAACTTCATATTATCATAAGTATGCAAACTAGCTTCCCCAGTTTTGGAGACGTCTCGCTGATGAGTGTCACCAATCAATAAATCTAGGTTAAGAGCATCCTAGCGATTAATTTCAATCACATAACACCAAGAAATAACTACATCTTGGGATAATATAGAATTTATTGACAATACTATGTTTTTTGTGATGTTCTTTACTTTATTAACCTTTTCGACATCATTTTGATAGACGATTCTACATTTCTGAAGTCATTTACTTGATCTGTTATATTAGTTGAACTACTGAAGTGTATTACTTCGCATCGAATGCCTCAGGTATTTTCATAGGAACTACTGTGTGAACAATTAACTTCATCCTAAGTGAACCAACCATTTATGACATCGTTGCTGTTCCCCATGGTTCTGTTATTATATAGAGTTTATATGAAAATACGTGACCAGTCAGGTGGATCACAGTTACTCTTATGATTATGGAGTGCATATCTAACAGACCCACACGAACTGAATGCCAAATCGCAGTTGTTAGTAACTCATTCAGGTTTGTCATGGATCATGGATAGAAAGTTGCAAGTCCTAGAAATATTTTCTTGTAGTAAGGAAAATGTACTCTCCATCTGATTTCATTTTGAGTCAGTGCAAATTATACTGCATAAAAGCGGATTAGTTCTAAGAAATCTATCTAAATCCTTACTTTCTGCATTTTCTAACCCTGAAATTCGGGTTACTTATACGATTTTGATAAGAACTGTTCAGCACTAGTCAACATACTTTATCCACAGTCCACCACTTATTTTAGGGCAAGCACGATTTCCAGATTTCTGCTGAATCTCCTTTATGGTTTTTCACGTATGACGTCAAAGATGAAAGTGCTTAGAAGCTTACGAATCACATGTATTTTCAAGGCATCAGCCATCTCTATTGAAATTATGGAAGGGGAAAATACTATAAATGCAATCTCAGTGTTCTGATTTAAGGGTGTTACTTCTCTGTTTAGATTTTAGTCCTTCGTTTTTTATGTAACTACGTTGTTTTTTGCACACTTTATTCCAATACCAACTCATCTTAGTCTTCCACTCATTTAGATCCCCTATCAAACATATAGCGCTGAAAAGAGAAGAATCAGGTCTTCAAAATACAAAATTTGATAAGGTTGGACGGTTGAAGCAGCTCTGAATGTTTGTATTGTCTTTGGTCGGAAGTCAAGGCTATGTTGTGATGTCAAGAGCCAGTGTTCAGAGATCTTACAACAGGCTACTGAAAAGTCGTCGAAGAGGCATATATTTATTCGCTTTTGTATTGCTTCTAATGTTTCATACCTCATTACTGCCTACTCTTCATACCCACTGAAAGAGTTTTTCTCATTGATATTATCATTTTATGATTACATTTTACCGTCTAATTTTCATTATTTGGATGCATACGAAATAAAAAAGGAGCCTTTTCCTAGGAATTCCACCGTTAATGTATCTCTTAATATCGAATGATGTGAGTTATATGGTAGTAACCCTTTTCAAAGATGCTGGACAATCATCAGAGATTCGGCTTTAATGTTAAATATGGTTGTTCCTTTGAGAAGAAAAATATTGCGGATAAGTGTGGTTAGATTAGTCTTCAGAAAGTGGTATGGATTCCATATCAGTCATGTATCAATTGGGTAATTACAAGAATACTGAAAAAGCTCTAATTATCTAAATGGAATCAAAATGCAGAAATATTGTCAGCTTATATTTTATACAAAGCGCGGAAAGCCACTTATCTGAAGGTTGATTTGATTCTGTGATAATCTTTATGTTGGGGAATGAAGACAAATGATCGAATTTTTGGAATTATTAGCAACCTTTATATAGTCTTCAAGATATAACGTTTTCTAACTAGTTGCTTTGATAATGTCAGCTGGAATCATTACATGTTCTTGCCAGGACTTTGGTTAGATTTCTCGTGGCACTGTCAATAGTTTTGAGTTATTTATAGATCTTATTTGCATAGAGCTCTTAGCATATTTCAGCGACCTACGACTCATACTAATCACCTACTTTTTGTATTCTGTGCTGCATACTAGCGGTAGTATCATAGCTTAGTTTCTTTTGCACTTCAGTAAATGCTTCTGAAATTAGTCGACCAAATTATTTTGTCTCAAGTTTTAAGATAAGTTTTGTTTATTTGAAATGATATAGATTGTTGCAGTATTTGTTGCTCAATGATATTCTAAGTATAAATTACTGTTCATAATCAAATCACAGTAATCACATATCTTGCAACATCTAGTTCGGACAGTTTCGGTTCAGCAGTGTGGTATCTCACTTCTTAGAAATGTATGCTGTATCATTTTTATCACAAGTACTAAGTGATAATTTCATAAAATATCCAATATTCAATCCGCCTTGTTTTTAGTTACATTGACCTTTAATGCAGTTGGTTTGTCACCAACCTGCTGCATGATGATGTTTCAGTGGACGTGTTGTGATAGTTGAGTTATGGCTATTATTACGTTATGATAATCTAAATGGCCCAGGTAGGCTGGTTGACTTATGTATTTGACGGCACAGTCATTGGGTGGTATTTACTACATCAATTAATTTTGACTATTCGGGTTAATAGGATCCCCAACTCGTTAAATTTGGCATCTGAATGAGTTTCTATTCCTGAATATCATGTTTGTTCTAGCTTTGCTGAGAATTCCAAGAAAAGTTTCTGATGTTTGTTCATTCTATGGGAGCTTTGCACTCCTTTCAATTTTTATCGTTGGTAGTATCCAAGTAATACTAATACTTGTTCCTATTATGTTCTTACTGATTTGTCGATGAAATTCAGGGTATAAGTGAGAATTAGTAGTGTTTACTCTAAATGTTTTAATTCTTTATCTACTTTTTTTGATTCACTAGTGAGTTGTTTTATTCGAAAAACTCACTAAACCCACTCCAACTGACATGAGATATAGTCATCTTAGATCTAGATAAATGTTAGAATGTGTAGACGGCAGTAACTAAGTGGCCTAGCATTTTATGTTCATAGAACTTTGTACAAAATTTGGTCTATGTTATCTCAAATGTCTGTAGGATAAAGTTGTTTATTTTATTTATGCGAAAATTGCATCGATATATTTGTGACTTTCCACATAACTTTTTCCATAAATACAACTACTGTGCTGGTTAACAAGCTGATTTGTATCTGTGACGAGGTCACACATCCAAAGCTTATTTAAATGAACACTACACACTACTCGAAATTTTAAACTTTAGTAAGCTGAAAGACATTCCTCAGATTACTCAGTAACTTGACTAACTGATCAATATTAGAGAAGTGCGGAGAGGTCTTTAAACTCTGAGTCCCTGGTGTTTGTGGATTAATGAGTGGAAATTCTCAGCTGAGAAGTATCTGATATCTAATATTCACTTACAGTTATATATGGTAATTTATTTTTGAAGTCTGAGGAGAGATTAAAAACACCGCTATCTGACTACGTAAGCGTTAATTGCGATAAATATTTTTGAACAATGAACTATTAACTTTGAATGTTGAGATAATAACTGCAAATGCATCACATTTTACCTACGACCACTGGTACATGCCTTATACAGTTAGGGTATGTTGTGTTACATCGTTATCATAGTGATAATTTGTATTTAACGTACTACTCGCTGACCATTTCAGTCATTATATTTCAATACATATTTATTATAAAGCTTTTGTTGTATGTTACTATGGAGCTGATAACTATCACCTCCTATGCTGAACAAAATTTTGACAAGTCCTTTCAAATCCATTTTCGACTTAATCAGAAAAATGACGTTTCAAGTGTCTAGTACTTTAAAAGTTTTGGTAGAACGTACTATTTACAATGTGCTGTAATGCGTAATCGACTGTTAATGATCTAATCACTTTGAAAAGTGGGTAATAAAACTCAATAATATATATATATATATATATATATATATATATATATATATATATTTGTGCTGACTTTCGTCAATAAAATGAACTATCAAAAACTGTTACGTTTTCAGCGTTTCTCTTCCTCACTTATTAGATTACTACAAATGAACCAACAAAGTGGACATCACAGAGTTAAAAGTCAAGTTAAAAAGACTTCTAACTCTAAATTGGAAAAGAGTTGGCATCAAAGGCATACCAAACAGCCCAGTGTAACTAATGATTCTAGAAAAGTCCATTCAGAGGAAGGAGTACTTAGTAAACTCGGTAAAGATGACGGACATCATGCTCGATACTATGATACTGATCAACCTACAAAAAGCGTTGAATCAGTACTACGAAAATCCAAAGAATTTAACTTAGGACAAGCTATTAGGAAATCAAAATATTCAGTGAATACAAAGCACTTGAGTTCAAATTTATCAAAGCAAAACACAGTTGTTTCGTCTAATTCTGAGTCAAAACACAGTGTTAACCTTACAGCTATAAACGTTCTGAATTTACTAAAGAAGTGAAGAATTCGGATAAAAATGGTATACCATCTAACCATAAGAATAATAATATGCTGTCGTCAGTTGAATTTTATCATGAAAAGCAACAAGACTCTGCTAACTATCAAATTAATAAGCCGAAAGAAATGTGTGACACGTTTGTAGATCAGACTATACCTGAAGAAATCCATCCTAAAAACGAGTCAGATGATTATTCTAGTGATTTTAGCGAGACACATTCTTCAGTTTCATTGGATGCCTTAACACCTGAACTTACAAAGCCATATTCTGCATATAAACCCAACAGCGTTACCCCTAAACTATCAGCAGGAACAGAAATTCATGACACTGAAAATTGTGAGTATGTTTCAACGGGTCAACGTGTTCGCTGTGCTTTACTCATTGATCAAATTACTGATCGTAGTGACAAGAAAAACAACAATGTAATAAGATTTAAACAGTCAGACAACTTGTTATTTCATCAACACGTTCATTCTCGTGTAAAACGAAGAGCCAACGATCTATTTAAATTGATTGATTTATCTTTGGATCAGCTAATAAATGTGTTTGAGTTAAAGCCCATAGATTGTTATGAATTTCTTATGCCACGATCAAATGAATATAGAAACCGAATTCATCGTCAGGTTCAAACAAATGATGATGCTTTGGATCGAGAAGTACAAACGGAACCAATTGACGTTTGTCATGGTGTGTGGACTCAACAACCAGCTAATGAAAACGGAGATTTCTATGGAAGAGACAGCAGCAACAGTAGGTCTCGTAACATAATATATTTGCGGATAGATAAGCGTTAATTAATTTGATATTAACTAGGCAGCAAACAGATAAAGCTAGTGTGGTTGGCATTTTTCACTTCTAATGACCTTAAAAGTATACATCTCGATTCAAATATATCAGAACACCACACTGAAAAGGAAATTGTATGTTTATTTATCGGCTGGATTACAGGCTATTGAGTCTCTTTCAGCTTATGCTTCCAAACCTTTTTTCTATACAAAACTATCAAACTTTTCATTATTTAAATAGAACTTTAGGCTACATAGTGCACACTTTTACTAACCTACAGATTCTTTTCCGTATCCAAAATACAGAAGTGGATTGTTGGTGCTAGAACAAGTGGACAAAAATAGAAAAATACAAAAGGGAGTATACAATATAATACAAACAATGAGACAGTATGGGAAAATTGTGCAGATAAACATTTATGCTGCAACCATTGCTTAACAGTTGAAACAACACCAGGATAATCCCTTACATTTACTTTAAGCTTTATTTGCTAGTTTCCTGAATGGTTGTTGTTTTGGTTCACCAACATAATTAGACTACGTCAAAGTATGCCATTTCGCTAACTGACAATCTCAATTTCAGATCCAATGTCTTAGCTACAGCCAAAATTCTTGAAGCCTATTGAGAAAGTGTATTATACATGTGGGCAAATGAATAACGTTTCCTTCTCTCCAAAACGTCATATCAGATCTCATTATTACATATGTCATAGAATGAAACCGATGTTATGGTTATGGCTGTGATCAAACTAGAAAGGTTAAGTTCTAAAGGCATTCGACAAGATTTTACCACTTACCTTCTTACCACAGAATTCCATTTTTAAAGGGTCAGTGGCTTTTCTCAAGAAACCCTTTTGTGTTCTCCTGCTTTTAAAAAACATATAGCATAATCCATTATCATAAAACATTTTCTGAAAAGTACCAAAGAAGTCAGGGTAGTGAAATATTATAGCTGAGTAATCAACCAAATCGAAACAGTGAGTTCAGATTTTGCCCTTATGGACTCATTCATAACATCGACTGTGTGGATAAACTCAATGAATTTGTTTTACCTGGTTTGTGGTAACATCAAGTGATGAGTATTATAGGCGTCTTTGAAGGAAAATGAAACATAAGTGAATATATAAGGCCGAAAAGTGTTGTGGTAATTCTATTTTAAGCTATACTGATCGTCTATTCCAATCACTAAAAACATAAATAATTCTCTAGTTTATGGAATCTACAGAACTATATGCCTAAAACTTCGGTATTCAAATTTTTCTTTCCTGTGAAAGATTTTTTCTTCGACATTTTGATACATAGTTTTGCAGTTAAGCTACTGATATTACTCGAATAAATACAATATTCATGAGTAAATTTTCACATAAACACATCTCACCTTGATCTTCCACTTGATGTTATGGATGGATAATGTGTAGGGATAATGGGCGTCAGATGATAATAAAACTGTCAGAAGTTTTCCCATAGTTTTCAGAGGATTTTGAATTTGAGTCATACTTAGGAGAAAACTTTACGAATTGGTAAGGCTTTCAATTATTTTCTACTGGTTGTACTTATATCTTGATGATTTGTTGGAGATCTAAACACGCGAACTAGGTCACGATTTTCTAATATATAAAAAGTGCAACTTCATTCATCAAAAGATTTATGAAATTAGTATAATCTAAGGTAGGTTCTCACTTTTTTACTGTTGGTAAAAAGCTTTAAAAAATGTTTAATGGGCATTAAAATTAATTACAGAATCAACATTTTACTTCTTCCCTAAAATTTAGATTACTTTCCTTCAAAAATACCTTATGATTTGACAGATGATGCTTCAATGAAAACAGTTCTAGGTGAATTAACCAGGGAATTTTGTTTGGGAACTAACACTTGTAGTGCTGTCATTGAGGATACAAACAACATTGCGAATATTCTGTTCGCGGATGAATCTAAATTATCAACAAATTACAATTTCAAAAATTCTAATAACTGTAGTCAACTACCGGACAGTTTTTCAGAATATCTTTATTTAATGCTGGATATATTGAATGAAGAAAACTTGGCAAGCACCACATATTTATTCAAGAATTGTAGTAAAAATGATAATGAATTCGAATCAGATGGAAGTGATTATGTAGAAATTTTGTTTCACTCAACAGTTAGTCCTTTTTCGTATGAAACAGATGATGATAGTCAAAAAATACCAAGTACAACTGCAGTGCCTAATGGGGATTTTAATTCAGTGAATGTTGGTGAAACATACAAGCCCAATAATGCATCTTCTTTTTGGGAAAACTATGAATGTGTTGCATGCGAATGTGCACCACAAAATCAGTCGGTCATTTTAACTATTCACCGACCAGTCAAAGTAAGTTTTCTTGAAATACAGTAGTACACTAGTGTAATAGTTATTTTAAAATGTTCACTAAGTAAGAGTGATCTATAATTGTGTCGGAAGAGAGATATCATTATTTTGTCACATATTTTGGCAACTTGTAGCAGACTAGATTACTCACATGTACAAGTGTATGTCAGTCATAGAAATACAGTGGGACAATGGGTAATTGATATATGTTTCATTTCCGAATGCTTTTTACAACATGGTTATCATCTTCTAAAGAGTCAGGACTAATATACGCTAAGTATGCTTTCCAATCTTGCTGAGCTACTTAGTACGTTATCCTTTTTATGAAGTATCTAAAACGGTAATATTTGAACTTTTACTGGGTCTATTTTTCCGGTCAGCGTCTATATAAATTACGATATTGATGCTTTGGCGGAATTCATAAGCTATGGTGACAATCTTCATGGGATGCTACTTTCAAGAACTCCTACTGACATATTCACCCAGGTTCTAGATAACTACTTGAGGATTTGAATTTATCATCATCACTGTCATGAAGTTCGAAAAATCACTGCTTTCAATTACTTAGTAACGTGTTCACAGAATTTGAACTGACCTGAAATTACTGAATAGTCATGAATGATTACAGGTCCGTGGTAGATATACAAGGGGATAACTAATCTCTGGGTTGTTAACAAATCAGACTACAATTCAGAATATGTAAAAGAATTCCTTTCCAACTGGAGCCTAGACATCCTTCACATGACTTTCACAAACTGAGTTACACTACTGGTATTAGTATTGAGTAGTTCATGAATGGTCTTAAAGACTTTGTGTGCCAAACTGATTGTTAACATTTTCAATGGTAAGCAGACATTAATACGCCAATGAGGAAAAGTCGTACAAATGACTTAAATACGAAGTCAACTGAAAATTAGCTATTGATTTAATACAAATCACGGCACCCATATATCTAATTTTCTATAGTTTCCATATTAATGAAATTATTTATCATATGCTTCACAATGATCCAGCTTATCAACAAAGTATTTTTCAGATCGTGAGCGAAATTTATGCATGCTTAATTCATTCCAATCAACAAGACGAAGTTGTTTCGGAGCAGGAAGACTTGCTGACATGTATGAAATCTTTTGTTCGTTTGGTTTCTTTACTCACTTACCTCGAAGGCTTAATAAAATTAAGGTCATGCAAATAGGATTTTTTAGCTGAATTTTTATTGACATCTCAGACTTATACAGAACTCAGTTATAGCATTATCGGTGGTTCGAACTCATTTAACATATGACTTCTGAATAGTTACAGGTGCTTTGAAGAAAGAAAGAAGACTATTTTTATACAATCTGAAGTTCAAAAACTCGAAAGACATTTGATGTCGTTCATCATGTTTACTGTCCACATAATTTATGCAATTACATGTATTAATATTTTATTTCCTACAAATATACAGATTTCATTTTCGTTGTACATATAATCAAGATCCCTGTCCTTTGTGCTCCACACAGCTTTTTTCTTACTTACTGCCTAGTTAGAAATGTACTAATTTAATCGTATAAATTTCTTCTGATTGAGATTTTCAGGCATTAATACTTTATGAACAGCACTTGAACTTCGGTAATCTTCCTCTCAAACTATTTACCGTTACTGTTGAGTTGTTTGAAGGCATAAACTCTTTGGTTGAATAAATGAAAGCTCATCTTTATTTCTATCTGAAAAATTGTTATGGGTCCAGTCAGTTGAAGTTAAATTCATTCACTTCAGACTGTTTAATTTAGACTTATACCAGGGATCCTAGTAGATCAAGACATAACCAAAAGCGTATTTCCAAGCAGACTAACTTCTATAAGGTGAGGAATTTCAAACACATATGATCAATGTTTTTCTTTATTTTCTTCCGTATTTACATGAATTACTTTTTTAGAGTAGTAAAAAAATAAATTATGTGCTGCAGTAATTAAAGATGTTTTTATGTTTATTACTCTGGAAAAGCTTAGTCAAGGACACGAACTGGAGCATTGTTTTAATAGCAGCACAAGAGCTGGTGAATTTATATGTATTTGGACGGCAATCGGTTCAAAACATCTGCCTGACCGTCTACTTTATTGTCCAGGCCTATCTGAAACTGGTTTAAAAGGCTCCAATTTGAATTGTGCAATATTCAGTCCAGATAAGGATGCGAGTTTGGTGAGTTCAAAGAAAATAAACTTTTTTTAAAACTATTTTCCTAGTTTTAATCAATGTTTTACGAAACTTATTAATCCGTTCCCGCAGGATATTGTCAGATAGCATAGTGATAGCATTTTGAATAATAGTATGAACTGACTTACGGTTACCTTTCCTAAAAATAAAAAATGCAAAGTTCTCACCAATTTTATGCAACCTACTTACACCTGAGATTATATGCACCTTACTCATTGTAAGAAATCGAATTGGCACCCTGAAATCGACAATAAGGAGTTTTCATTTCCGATGTTGTATTGATTTAAAGTTTTATGATTGAGAAATCCATCGATTTAGAAGGCCAGAGTTACCCAGAATCTGTTTAGCTTGGAAGTTGATGAGCCTAACATTTTCAAAACCTACGGAAGTGCATTACCTATCTTTTACAAGACTTTGTTGAAGTCTGATTGTACCAGAGTTAAAGAAACCAGCAGGGTTATGTTTATTGAATAGATCTGGTGCAAGTGGGATCCGTCTGCAGCTGTTAATAAATGCTAACGCTAATTGGAATTCCTAGGTAGTAACATGACTAGTTAGTTTGCACATTCAAGCTAATTAATTTGGTCCTTTATACTTACAATGGGAATTAACAAGCTTAACTAACATTGGCATGCTTGTGTTGCTTTAATTCAACATAAGAGAGTGAGTAAATAATCTGTAAAAAGTGATTTTAACACTTCTGGTTACTTACTGTAGTGTACAGAATCACCGAGGAAAGACTTGGTCTTTATCTGGGTTTCGTAGCTCAATTTATATAGCACCGGGCATGTAACCGAAGGTCAGTGATCCGAACCTTACCATAACAGAAGCTTTTATTTCACTTTCAGGCGTCACCCAGCATATGTTTTCACCTAGCCTTTATGCAAGCTTTTGTGAGGAGACATCTGGAAAACTTCGTTTGTGTTATTTCACTTAACCAATACAAGAATTTCGATATAAAAAGATACAATTATATAGCTCAGTAATCATACAGATAGTATTTACATTCAACAATAAAAGCAATGTACCTAAGTTATGTTCAGATAAATCTCAGCGTATTTGAAACAAGAAACTCCAACGTTTTTGCAAGGAAGTCTAGTCCGAGCTTCTTCAGGAAATAACCAAACTCAATATTATCATATATATATATATATATATATATATATATATATATATATATATATATATATATATATATATAAGCCAAAAATCGTTTTCTTCATCTCACTGTCCAATTGTTTTGGATTATAATTTTTTTCAGTATGACTAGTAGTCACTCAATAAAAGTAATCGACAAAAGTTTACAATATAAATTGAAATTGATAATGGAGTGTGTAAAGTTCAGAATGATTTACATTAAAGCAGTGTTTGATTAATTAGTTAGTTAATTGCGGACCCAATAGTTAAATTAAGATTAAATCAAGTCATGTAGCCGAGGAGTATGATAATAATGGTATTTGTTCATAAAAGAAAACTGTTTCTAGCGGACAAATTTGTTACCAATGCCATCGCTGTTTCTTCTCTTGTGACTCAATGGGATTATTTAAGTACTTGTTCATACTTGCGCTAAAGGATTACCGTTCAGTTGAATAAAGCTATATAATTATAATCAGGTAGGTGGTTAATTCCCACACACCGCTTTTAAATCAGTCATCTGTATGACAATGAAGCCAGTAACGAAGTGGGAAAATACTAGATGATAATCTGTGATGGATTTCTCATTTCAGTATATGACTGGTTTTGTCACGCTTATATATTCTGGTAAAGAAACTGTGCTTGTCTTTTTAAACATTAATCTAAGAAAGGCATCAATTTTTAAATAACAGGCATCAACACTTTAATTCTTACCTTTGATATATATGTAGTGACTTTTTTGCTCTCCTTTGTTTGATATCTTTATACTTTTTTAGATTTGTTTTTGAGTTGCTGAGAATCATAACAACTTAAATTCATGTACTTTCTGTGAGGTGCCACTTTGCTTTATATATTTTTTTCTTAGTGTTGACGGAGAACAACTGATAGTGTTGTACATTCATATTACTCAGTAGTACTCACTTGTCATAGGTGTGTGCTATTTTCCTTTTATTACTTATAAGACTGATTTGTGTTCCCAGACTGCTTCTGTAAATAGTATGTTGTAATGTGAATAGCTTGTTGACAGTTTTTATTGAATCTCTAACTACTTTGTTGATAATAGTGCGGAGTTATTCCTTAATTTGTGCCCGTGTCTTTGATTAGTGAATACCTAGAATGCAGCCACTTTGTCTTATTTGCAGAAAAATACTGGTATGATGAACTTTGGGTAGCTTCTGTGTCATAGAAAGTGGATGGATGAAAGTTTTTTGAGTTGCATATATGGGTTATTAACACTAAGCTAAAGATATTAACTAATAGTAAACACTTTGGAAGTAATTCATGAAATGTGTGTGAGACTAATAATGGTGAAATACCTTCTTCAGACTTATTGAAAAATGAAAACTCAACTGATTTCACATAAAAGCTTAGTCAGACAAGCAAATAAAGTTGCTTGGAACCTCGCTAAAACACGTAGTCATCGAAGTAACCTCAATTTACAGTAGCAAAGAAAGCCAGAGAAAGCAAGAGTGGGAAAATGGGGAAATGAACCCCTAGGAAATGACAAGCAAGTGAGGAATTATATGAAGAATATTATCATACTCATAACTCTGTAATTGATGGAAAGTGAATATAACTGTGTTGTTGCTATACATTTTAAACACGAACGTCATTTTTATGTTAGATAAGTCTTAATCACAAGTGATCACTTAAGAACAAGTATTGAAATGCATAGAACAGTTGAGAGCGTTTTAACCATGGAAACATATAACTTCACTGTAATACCTGAGTTCTAGACGCTAATTTAGATTCAGTTTCTCATATAGAATAATTCATCAACACCACAAAATGTAGACGCTACAAGTTCATATTTTGACTTCAATTACCATTCACCTAATCGGTTGGTAATTGACATCCTGAAAAATGTAGAATAATAAATTGGAAGGGTTTATTAAATTTAGTGATTTTCAGCAGTTTATTCTTATCATCGCTCTTTATAATACTGAACACTTGATTCCATACTGAAATCAACGAAAAACTCAATATAGGTAGCAATATTTAGGATACTTTACTATCCTGTTGAGTTTTTTTGTTTGGTAGCATACTGTCAACACAGGATCATATGACAGTACAATAAGTTTTGATTTCAATGAGTCCTCTGTTTTGTTCCACCGATATGGAACTAGTTAATGTTTTCTTGTTTTGGAATTCAACAAAACAACAATTCTATAATGCGACTGTTTTGTCATGAGTTGAAGATTCTGTAAACTCACATTTTAATTAAATGATCTATGCTTAACTGCTTTCTTGAAGCGATCGTATTTCTAGGCTTTTATCTAATCAGACTAAGATGGTCTCGCCTTACAATTTGCGCAGACACTAATAAACGTGCATTTTTGTTGTTGTTTCTTTTTATTGAGTTAATGGTGATGATTAAAAAAATCAAAGATTTACTTGCTTTCACTACTACCTACTGAAAATCGACAAACAAGTCAACAAAAGTTCTAAAATGTAGAAAAGTATTAAATTTGATTTAAAAAGTTTTCTTGTATTTGCCACTGTATTCTCTTGTATTCTCTTACAAACTGTAGTTCTAGCCTCCTTTTTAGAAGAATTCTGAAGAAAATCATTTTCGCTAGTAAATAGACTGAACAAATCGAATTAAAAAGTTGTAAATGTTTGTTTATGACTTCAGTCTGAACAGAGATGGAGTATTGATTGATATCACATAATAACGTTTAATAGATTTTTAGCCAACTATTTACTTAGAAGCAGTTGTTTCCGGTGTAGGTTAACTAACTGAATGTCACATCTGTTTAGAGCCAAATATTTTTATATTATTTAACTCAGACAGCGATAGGAATATCACACATTAAATTCAGTTTTATATCATTCTATAACTGTAGGATGTATTGTTGCCCGAAACTGTTAAATTGATCAAATAGGAAAGCATTTACTTTATATTAGTTTTTCCAAAATTTTAATTACTCTAATATATACTGAAGAATTTTAAATTCAATTTATAGTAAATCCCCTAGAAGTTCTGTTACCTTTAAACAAAAGTAGTATGAAGTCTAACTGGAATATATCTTAGGGGGGGGGGAGGTACATGGGATGGAATGCCATAAGAGACACAAATAGTCTGTGGTGGCACTATTAAATATATTTAGCTTTAAGATACTTCTTAGATGTATAGTAAGGACAGTAAAACTAACAATAAATTTTGAAGCTTACAATGAACTAAGTGATCACACCGTAGCATCTTTTGAATTAAAAATACCGCATAATGCATTCTGTAGGGTAAATGTATTTTCTTGAAATCTCTGAACAACATTTTAGGATTTTTCCAAAACTCTGATTCATCTGTTTGATATTCTTTGACCTGTTTCTATTAGGTTTGCCAAAGTTTTTCATTTCAGTCTGTAGTATTTACGTCGAAACTTGCTTTGGTGAAATAACTAAAACTGAAAAAATTTTTTTTTAAATAACGTGTCAACTTTTTTAAACAGTATATATACATATATATGTATGACTAAAACAAATAATTCTGTGAAAAGTTTGAAACACTAACTGAACTCGGGAAATTAGCACTTCATATTTTACATATAAAAAGCTTTGTGGCTATTATTGCTTTATATTCTCATGATTTACATTCAAATCTTTGTTGTCTAAACTGTTAATATAAGCTAAGAAAATGTTCATTACAAATATATTTATAATAAATTGGTTTTTCATGAATATAATTAAGAAATACATTTCACCATATTCGCTAATAGTGGCATACTGACGCATACGCATACGCATATATACAATTATCCACAAAATTAATTTTGCACATTTCAAGTCACACGAATGACTGCAATAAGTTCAGCAGCACACTGTCGACATACACGTCTACTGTCTTCTATTTA